GCTAATATGTAACGACTTTGAATATAATTTTTGAAAACCCTATTGCATTTAAAACATTGAAAACACCACCAAACTGTAGCTTATTTATTAGAGATTCATTTGATATGTTATTTGACTAAAAAACAAATTATAAATATAAATATCTCATTTTCAAACAGTGACCACTATTTTACGTTTTCCATCTATGGAAAACTCAATGCATTATTATAATTGGTTTGTGTTTTTGACAAAAACCACATTTTGTCATAACTTTAAATACTAATTTTTAATCAATTAAACTATAAATATATAAATGAAACTTGTTTACACATTGTATGGATACTAATAATTCACATTGATATCAAATTTTCTTTATAATAATTTTAAAATTAATTTTTTAATTAAAAATGAAACAATTTCGGTCTGGACAAAGTAAAATAGTGGTCACTGTTTGAAAAAAAGATATTTATATTTGTAATTTGTTTTTTACAGTCAAATAACATATCAAATGAATCTCTAATAAATAAGCTACAGTTTGGTGGTGTTTTCAATGTTTTAAATGCAATAGGGTTTTCAAAAATTATATTCAAAGTCGTTACATATTAGCCGATCAGTACTGTAGTATGGTTTCATAGAAAACATAGTAATATAAGATGTTTTTAATCGTATTTTATATAAAAAACCAAGAGATGGAAGGTTTTTCTGGTCTATATTTTAGACTGTGATCAACGTTAAACAAAATACATTATTGATTACAGTCTGATCTACAATACATAAGAACCTTTCAGCCCTTGGCGTTTAATTTTTTAAACTTTTATTAAACTTAAAGTCTGTTTATAATATTTATATGAAATAGCATAAATTTAGTATTTTAAATTATTATAATTTATTATAGATGGAATGTGTTTTAAAATAAATTCAGGATTATCGATTAGTTGTGAGTCGAAAGCTTTTTTCTATTGCTTACTTGTAAAGTATAGAAGTTTATTTTAAAAAAAACTTTCGATTCCAACTCGGTAATCCTGAATTTATTTTAAAAACACAGATATAATGTAATATGATCATATTATAACCAAATTTATGAAATTTTACTTGAGTTTACAGTTTCTTTGCACAGATACATAGAATGTTTCAACTTGTTGCGTTTCTAGTATGAAATATGAGAAAAAAATATAGTGCACTAAATTTAAAAGTAGAATCACTTAATATTTATTAATTATAGCTGACCATATCATTAAATTTAGAATTTAACTCTAATTCTTACTTGTAAATCACTCTTATGAGAAATATATTTCCATAGCATCGTTTTTAAAAATGCAATAAATTTATAGCATATCAACAATGATTAAAACATTTCTTTAAATTAGCGATGCTCAACTAGGATTTATATGTTAGTGAGCTACACACGTCTGCGTCTTTCATGAAACGTATAACAAATAAATATGGACATGTGATAAATCGATTCAATTGAGATTTTAATTGAGAATACAGTGATAAATGAAAAAATTATAAACTTGAGTAATCATGCAAATAATGCCGAATTAGTAACGAAAATGTGAAAAATCAAAATTTTTTATATCTTGAGATTTTAAAATTATTATTTAAACCATCATATTCTGTGTAAAATTCTCTATTGAATCGATATATCACATATCCATATTTATAACGGAAACATTTCCCTATTCAATGGATCACTGTGGAAAAACCGGTCACAGAACTATACAAATAAGATATAGACTATATATGGACTCCTCTTTGAAAGTACTTTAATATTTAATTATAAAAACTTTCATCTCATGAAATATGTCGTGATAAACAGTATGTCATGAAATATATCATGAAATATGACATGAAAGACGCAGACGTTTGTAACTCACTAACATATAAATCTGAGTTTAACATTGCTAATTTAAATCAAAATCAAATATTTGTATGCGATTGTATGAAAATACATTATTACTTTTATACATATAAAAAGGCCAATTATGAATCGTTCACTCAGGTTTTGCAAACACACTTTAAACTGAAGTATTTCAATTAATAATATTGCAATGAATTTATTTATATAATATAATATTAGTATGAAATACTTCAGTTTTCATTAGGCATACACAGCCGAAAAAGGCAATTCAGGATGTTGCGTTTCATAGGGGACACTTTGTAAGAAATTCTTTTAAGAGTTTAACTTATAAAGATAAATTGACGGCAATATGCCACCTACACATATATTATTCAACGTGTGAATGAAATTCGTTTTTATGATATGACATTCGACGTGTTTCAACAATGACAGTATAACGATTAAAAGCTCAGACGGAGCAATTTTAATCGTTATGTCAATTACACTTACACAAATATGCATATTAGGAAGTTAATTAGTCATATTTCATGTGAAGCAATTTTTATTATCATATAAGAGTAAATATCTTTTTTATTCATAGGATATAATATATTATGTGGTAGTGTAATAACGAAAAATGTGGTCAATAGTTTTTTAGCAAACATTATAAATAATATACAAAAATGAATGTTGGTATTTAAAATTCAACAACATTTGTATATCATTGACATTTATACGCTAAAGTTTAAATAAGTAAATTGACCAGATTTTCAAAAAATATTAAAAATGGCATTGAGCAAGCAAGTACTCGACAAAAATATTCCGATATCTACTGGCAGATTGAATGCCAATTTTGTTAAACATGAGGAAATTGGTGCTGGGTCATTTGGAACAGTATATCGAGTTCATCAAAAATTATTTAATCAAGCACTTGCTGTCAAAGAAATTAATATGAAGAATGATAAGGACCTAGCAAAAAATGTACGTGAACTCTCCGTATGGTTTCAGTTACAATCGGAATATGTTGTCAAATACAGAGACCATTGGTTTGAGGAAACCCCTGATACTTATCTGACCATATATATCACAATGGATTTGTGCGACCATAACCTTAGACAGCTGTTAACAGCTAAGTCTAAACGTTTTAATCGACAAGGTGATATTACCCGAATAAGCGATTGGGAATATTTAATATGCTACTATTTGTATCAAGAAGTATTAATTGGTGTAGATTATCTACATACGCATAAGCCAGCAATAATTCATCGTGATCTTAAACCTTCGAATATATTAGTAGCATATACGCATGATAAATTAATGATTAAACTTGGTGATTTTGGTTTGGCTACGAGTCATGAAGCAGACCAATCTCACACCGAAAATGTGGGAACTACAAAATATGTTTCACCAGAAATATTTCGAATTCGCAAATATACTACTATGGTCGATATGTATAGCATGGGCGTTATATGTGAAGAGATATTTCAAATTGATTCACTAGGGTAACTTTATAAATATAAATTATTAAATAAGCATGATATAATAATAAAACATTATTTTATAGGGATGATATTGTCGAGGGTAAATGTTTAAAACTTAAGCAATTTATTAGGCAATTGTCAGCTACTATGCCTTATAACAGGCCAACTAGCTCCCAGGCATTAGAAATGTACAGTGAATTGAAAATTGATACAAAATTTGCACTAAAAGAATACAATGAAAAGGATAACAAGCTCGATTATGTCATACTATTAAAAGTGATGGAAATGCAGGGCATGCCTCTTTCATATCTTGATAAAAATAAATTTGATTATTACAAAGATAAAGATATGCTAAAAGACATTGGAAACGATATTTATATTAATAAAAACAAAAAGGATGAATTTGAAAAAATTACACTGATACATGATGGTGGTTTTGGAAAATGTGTCTATAGTGCCGAACAAAAGTATGTTGGCAGTAAATTTGCTCTCAAAAGAATTCCATTTGATGGTAAATATATTTTCTAAATTAATATAAAAAATTTGTTCAAATTCACTAACATTTTATTTAGTAAACATTTAAACACAAACCAATAATTATTTTAGTAAAAAGCCTTTTGAATAATTCGCATAATCTGCGATGCTAAAAAAATAATCCGGGCCACTTTAATAGTGACAAAACTGTGGATACTGTGGCATTGACTTAATGGCATAGCCTCATATTAATAGTTTTCTCCCCAAATTTTGTGGTCCTCAATGGGACAGAGAGCTATTAATATGTTATTATAATTATAATTAGTAAATTATTAACTCATTTAGTTATAGTACATTTAAATATGTTTGTATAAAATTAATAATAATTTAATATTTAATAATAATTAAATTTATAACTAGCCCTCTCGCTGTTATATGCCATTTATGCCATTAAGTCAATACCTATTATTAATAGGCTATTAAAATGTTAAAATGTTGTCACTCATAGTGTGGCCCGGATTGGCTTGAGAGTACATCGTAGCGTATAATTGATTATAGTTTATAATTACTTGATAAGTATAATTTTTATATGATAAATTATTATAATTGAAAACAAATATAATTAGTTTTAATGTTCATATAATAACATCAATTGCATTATTATTACACTAGATAACGATAAATTTAAATCGGGTATTAAGGAGCTCCGTATATGGGCCCAATTGGACTCGGACAATTTTGTACAATATCGACACCATTGGTTTGCAAACGAAAACATGCCTGATAATAAACCCGCAATTATGCTATACATATTAACAGACTTATGTTGGTTTTCGTTAGACAATATAATACTTCATAATTTCGAATATTCTAGACTTGGTCATTCAAATTTGCTAGTACCAATAGCGTATTACATAGCATCAGAATTATTCATTGAAATACTTGACGCTATAAACTATTTACACAGAAAATCAATAATGCACCGAAGTATACAACCAAGCAATATACTAATCAAGCACCATGCGCATGGGCGTTTTGTTAAATTAGCCGATTTTGGATTGGCTATTGAACATCAAACAGAATCCCAGTCCCATACACAATTCCCCAATGCAGGTAAGTATATGGCACCGGAGGTTAAGCAAAGTCGCAAATATGGGCTATCATCCGATATTTATAGCATTGGTGTTTTGGCTCAGGATCTATTTAACTTTGATATTAATAAGTTTGAGTAAGTTAAAAAATTTTATTAGTCAAATATATTAAGTAAAATTTATTTAATAGCAAAATACAAAATGAGTATAAAAACTTATATGATAACTTGGTACCAATAATAACTAAATGCCTAAATGGACTAGTCACAGCAAGGGGTTCAATTAATGAGATACTTGACAGTAAATCAACTTGGGCATTAAATTATGGAAATGTTCGGGGTGAAATAATAAAAATTATCGATGTGAACGGACAATATGATCATGAAAAATCATTTATTGAATACTTTCTATTGACAAAATTTATGTTAAATGATCCTACAGAAAAAACTACAGATTCGTCCAGAATCAATAATGAACCTGAATTAACCGAGGAGACATTTATAACAGGGAAATTTAACAATGATTTCATATTGGATACTACCAAAACATATGAAAATGGTAGACATGGAAAATTGTACAAGGTTACATCAAAACATGATAATACAGACTATGTAATCAAAAATGTCAAACTAAAGGGTGCGGTTATAAATAATATGATATTTAACTTCTTAATTAATATATTTTGTATTATGTAGGTGAACATGATTTAAAATTAAAAATTCAATCACTTATTATCAGGATGAATTTGAACAACGACTATTTTGTCAAATACATAACACACTGGGTTGAGGCAAATGAATACAAACAGTATTCCCTTTACATTCAACAAGAATTGTGCTGGCTATCATTGGACGATGTCATAACACAATTGATTGAGCATTTTGCTGTTAAACCAAAACAATTATTCCCAACATTGGGCTATTATATAGCATCGGAATTACTAATTGAAATTTTGAACGCGCTCAATTATTTACATAGTCATAACCTGCCGATAATTCATCGTGACATAAAACCACAAAATATTTTGATAAAGGAGCATGCACAGGGCTTTGTTAAAATATCAGATTTCGGACTTGCCGTTTTACATGATCCTAAGTCTCTATCGCATTCACAGGGTAGGGGCACTGAGAGGTATATGTCACCTGAGGTTAAAAGTGGGCGCCGGTATAGTCCCAGTGCCGATGTTTATAGCCTGGGTGTGGTTATACAGGAAATGTTTAATTTCGATATCAATACCATTGGGTTAGTGCATAAAGATAAAATTGTTTGATTTAATTTATCACTATTATGATCTTTATATTTAGAAAATTCAAAACAAATACAATGTTTGATAACATAGAGGAAGTCAGCAGTGATTGCCTGAAAGGTATGGCCAGTCAACGACCCACTTGTCAACACATATTGGATAATAGCAACCAATGGGTCCTAAAGCACGATGACGTAAAAGAGCTTATTAAACTCAATGAAAACATCGATGCTACTTTTACTAAAGAAAAGTTTATAGAGTATTACTTGCAAAGTAAAAACAAATTGATGCAAAATAAATAAATATGAACTAAGGTATGATTACTATGCCGGTGGACAACATTTTGTGTCTAACAAAACTGTAAACACTAAATTAGTTTGCACATTAAAATATACTTTATTACTAATTACTTAACTCGTAAAATACATTTTAGAATTTTTAAGAATTTAAATCCAGTAATATATGTATTGAGTTATTGATTGGTTTATTATACAAATAATAAAGGTAATGCTTCAATTGTCTAAACCAGTGGTTGTCATTCTATAAATAAAGTGACAACTACCCTGGTAACAACTTTGAATTTTAAGGCATTAGATTAAACACTAGTTATTTTATTAGTCTCTTTGATTTAAAGTTAAAAGTCATAATTTGAAAATTAATAATTAATTCCTTTTCATATAAAAATATTTATTAGTCATAAACCTGATTATTATATTTTTTGCTTATTATTAATACTTATGATTAACAAATATTCATAAATAAAATAACTAGTGCTGAATCAAATGTTTGAAAATGTAAAGTTGTTACAAGGCTAGTTGCCACTTAAGTTACAGTTAGGAAACCAGTGGTCTAAACGATAAAAGTTAGAAATTGTACACAGGTTCACTCAGTTAGTTTATAATAAACTTTTTATGTTTTATTTACCGACAAAGGAAATCAGCAAACTTTAAAGTTGTCATTCCCTTTGAGCTATATTAATTAAATTCCCTTGAAGCTAATAAAGTGTTTAGCTTACCCTTTATAAAAATAATTTTATCAAATATATTTTTTATCCAAGCAAATCTTAATTATTTTATATTTATCTTAATTCGATATTTATAAATTATAATATTGTTACTAAAATTTTAAATATAATACTTTTATTTAAATATTTTACTTAATTTGTATAGGAAATATTCTAGAACATTTTAGAATGAATTATATTAAATATTTAATTTTAATATATTATTAATATAAAGTAGTATACTGTATTTTTGATGCTTAATATATTATGTTTAATTTTAGCATATTTTACTTATTTCTAATATTTCAATTTTATTAATAAAACTTAAAACTTGAAAAATTACAACTTTATGAATAAAGCATTGTCAATTGATGTTCAATGCATTGATATACACATATAGTACAAAATTATGCATGCATTAAAACTAAAGCTATTAACAGGGTAGGTATTATATGAGTATAATATTATTATGACTCGCAAATAATTTTTCAACATTTTGGGATAGTTATTATTGTTACTATTAAATAATTAGTTCCATATGGATTACTAATAAACAGTCTATTATCAAACAAATACAATCATTTATTATAAAAATAAATTCAATAAATCATTTTTAATTTAACAAGAAAATTATTACTAGTTAAATTATAGTAAACTGGTGAAGCGCATCATTATATTTATTTACATTTATTTATACCTAAAGGTTTCTTTCATGTTGCAATTCATAATATATAAGCTATATTATTGTTTAGTTTTGATGATAACTTTATTTAATATTATTTCATAGCAACTAACTTATATTGAAATAACTGATTATATTTAGCGATATGAGAACGAGAGAGCAAACTAAACACTATATAACTTATTATTTCATTTTATTTCCAAGACCTACTACTACTACACTACCTGAACATTACAAATACATTTAGAGATGCAGATTTAAATGTCTAATATAGATACGGTATGTAATAATTTTTAATATATTTATTAATAATTTTATTATAATTTTATAACTTATAATAACAAATATAGTTTAATTATTTATTATAATACATAAATTGTCTATATGAGTAGTTTATTTTAACTTAATACGAATAAACATCATAATATAGTAAGTTGACCTTGTTTCATAGAAAAGAGTTTAGTATTTATTTTAATACGGTTGTATTGACGTTATTACTAAGAAAATTGTATTATGTTGTAGTGTTTGTTCAAATCATATATTTGTTGCTATTATCCCATTAAGAAACGTGAGATAATGAACGAACGAGAAGTATTGAGAGAGAGAGAGAGAGAGAGAGAGAGTAAATAGTCTCTCTCACTCACTCACTCATACAAATGAACAGAATGAACGGAAACAAATATACAGATCTTCATAAAGTTCCGGGATGAAAGATTGTTTAATAACTCGCTTATTACTTGCAGCTAAAATCTATACTCTGGCACACTTAAAGTTCATTATGAGGTAGCCATGAATTAACAAGAAT